ATAGGTGATCCATTAACAGAAATGGACCAGCGGACTAGTTGATGGTATCGAGAGCAGTGCCCTCCTAACTTCTCCATTTCCCCTGACTTTTCTCTCTTATTCTCCGTCTGAATGACAGAGAGAGACAGTCTGTTGTTATGTCTGTGTGTTTTGTCTTCCTTTCTTTGTGCATTGCATTGTGAGTAAGACTCCAAATAGTCTATTTCACTGATTTGTCCATCTGATTAGTGATATAAGGCAGTAGTATGAAAGTACACCAAACATGGGATTCCATTTCAGAAAATACCACCCCTTTATTCATGCAACATCTAAATTGCTGTTGCTATTCCAAATCCAGATAAGGTCAAAATGGTTATTTAATGGGTTTTGGGGGACTGTTTGATTTGTGTGTGGCGTTCTTTCTTTCCTTTTTTCTCTGTTTTGATTTTCTGCAGTTGTTTGATGGGCTCAATTTCATCCTCTCTCCCTTTTGTAAACCGCTGTCCTTTCTCTACTTAGAGTAAGATATGAACCTCTTGGCGCGGTGCCATCGCAATCCATTCACTACAGCTCAGTGAAACCGCACAGCCGCTACTATATCCCAGAGTGCACCCTGTCCATTCCAGCAGCACCCATTTGTACAGTGAAAATGGCAAAATGTCCACTTCACAGACCCCCCTACCCTCCTCTTCACCACATTGTGTGCTCATGATACATTGACAGTTACTCTTTTGGGATTGCGTGTGTCTCTGTGGGTTGAAACAGCTGTGTGGGTACATGTCAGCGTGTGAATATGTGTGTGTGTATTTGTGTGTGTGCTGCATATTGGCCACAAATCTAGGGCATGTCAAGTTTTCCAGTGTGAAAGTGTGTCTCAGTTTTCAAGTGATTTATTCCCCGGATTAAATAGCTACTACTTGAAATATGTGATACGATTATGATGCCTCCTTTTGTAAACGGATAGCAAATCATGCTAGTCCTGTAACCTCCCTTTATGTTTACAGTTACAGGTTGAACACCTTTGTTTTATTTTATCCTATTATAAATTGTGTTTTTTAAGTGTAAGGCAAGTTTATTTATACAGTATAGCCCCTTTCAACACAAGGCAATTCAAAGTGCTTTACAAAAAAAATGAAAGACATTAAGAGCATTAAGAAACATATTATAAAATGTTATTTAATAATAATAATACATGTTATTTTTAGGCGCCTTTCATGACACCCAAGGACACCGTACAATTTGTTAAAAAAAGAAAACGCTAATAGGCAACAGAACATGATAAAAACACAAACAGGAAATCATGGAGGAGACAATCAAGTGGACACAAATGAAACATATAATGGGGAGCACTACAGTGAGTAGGCAGATTTGAACAGGTGGGTTTTTAATTGGGATTTGAATATGGTGATTGTGTCTGACTGTCGGATGTGCGGGGGGGGGGGAGTTCCAGAGTCTGGGAGCAGTGCAGCTAAAACCCCGAGCTTTTTTAAAAACACTCATTTAAAAGCAAAGGTAAGTGTAAGGATGTCTTAACCTAAAGTAAAATGTGTGTTTCCTGCTTATCTTCCACTCCAAATATGGGAGTCTTCCATGTCAAATGCGGAATGATCCCCACCTCTTGCCATTTAAAACCATTGCCATTGAGCTGGAAAAAGGCTGCTAACATTTTAATGACTTAATGTGACATAATTAGCTGGAATGGGGGCAAAGAAATAGAGGAGCCATGGAGGTGATCTGTGTCAGTGTTTGTGATGGCGTACTTGTACAAAGTGTTTCTGTTCCTACAGTGTGTTCTGCTTCTATGTTCCCTATTCGTATGGGGTTTCTGGTGCATGTGTGTACGTGTGTGTGTGTGTGAGCACTGTGCCACCTTTCTCAGCATTACCCAGCCTCTTCATCAGGAAGTGATGGTGGGGGGTCAGGCCTCATTTAATCAAGGAAAAAATTTCAACTCCCATTAACTTAATTAATCCAACGCTGGAGAAAGAGAAGCTGAAAGAAACCTCTGTGTGTGTGTGTGTGTGTGTGTGTGTGTGTGTGTGTGTGTGTGTGTGTGTGTGTGTGTGTGTGTGTGTGTGTGTGTGTGTGTGTGTGTGTGTGTGTGTGTGTGTGTGTGTGTGTGTGTGTGTGTGTGTGTGTGTGTGTGTGTGTGTGTGTGTGTGTGTGTGTGTGTGTGTGTGTGTGTGTGTGTGTGTGTGTGTGTGTGTGTGTGTGTGTGTGTGTGTGTGTGTGTGTGTGTGTGTGCATGGCGTTTGAATTAAATCAGCAGCGAAGGCCTATGAAATGGATGTGACCAGGCTACAGGAGGTCGAAGCTGAACTGCTCCAACATTGACATTGAGCGGACATTCTCATTTCCTACTGTGTCTTCTCCAGCAGAAATGAGACTGAAGAGGGAGTGTGTGTGTGTGTGTGTTAATGTACGTCTGTGAGAAAATAACCTTTATAAGCCATAATCAGGGACACTTTAAATTATGTAACTTGCACAGATGCAGTAATGACTTCATGGAAACAACACTGAAAGGGAATTCATTCATAATATTGTTCACCTATAGATGAATCCGAGCTGTAGGCAGAAGTAAACAATCCACCATCACCTTGCCCGCACATCACTTATACAACCCTGAACCCTTTGTATAGCGCTGTCATGCAAATGATTTCACTTGTATGCCAATACATCTAACCAAGAGATCCATTAGAACCTTTTACATGTTGAACATATAATCATCAAATTATATGTTCAATAAGTGTTGGTCCTGTTTAAACTGATTATAGTATGTGTTTTTTCAGCTTTTTATTAGCTGCTCCACCAACAAACTGAGACTTTAGAAAAGTGTTTCTTCTGTTTTAATTAAATGATGAATTAATTTGAATTAAATCCTCAATTCATGGTGGGTTTAGTTGCAGCACTGCACTTCAAATCCAGACTGTGCAGGTCAGACAGAATCAATAGGTTAATTTAGTTTTATCCCCAAAGGCTGTGTCGAAGCTTGACACTTGAAAACCTTCACATTCACACAGATTACTAGGATCTGACAGAGGGGGCGACTGGCTCCATACATGTCTGCTTTCACTGTCAGTGCAAATGTGTTTTTAGACCTGTCAGTAAGTGCCGCTGCATTGGAGAACACCACACATAAATAATCCACCAGGCTTGAACAGAGGAAGTCAGACAATAACAATGTAGAGGTGTTCAAAACAAAACGAGGCAACTCATTCCAACGCTCAGAAGATGCTTAAATATTGCAGGTAACACAAACAGGAAAGCTAAATTCAATTAGGGTCATCTAAAAAAGACAACATACATTATATCAAATAAATCCAACAGCACTAAGATAGATTCATACAGTATACTGTATATGGATTCTGTGTTTTCAGCAGTGATTCATTTTCTTTAAAGTGAATACGTTACTGTCAGCATGCCCTTCCTAAAATGTATGAATATGTGAAATAATATGAAAATAAGCGATTACAAGCTAAATCAGGTTCATCCGTGTTTAATCACAACTACTACTTGCTGAACCTCAGTGTCTAATATTGGATAGAATGTGTAGTCTACTGAGAATAGTGCAATATTTACCCTTACTATTCATAGTTTTACCTTATTGGTCTAATGCTATTCAGCCTGTTCATAAAATATAATTAACCACCAACGTGTCAGTCAAGGTTTGAACTCTTCAGTTCCTTTTATCTCCCACCTACAAAACCGATCTTGATCTTTTCACCTTCTTTGGTCAATAATTCCCTTTTTCTCAAGATCTCTTATTGATTTGTTTTACACTTTTATCATTCCAGCTTGTTCGTCAAAGAACTGAAGTAAAAGAAAGTTCATAAATTGCATTAAGTGTGTTCAAACATTGGCAAACATGACAATGGAAGCATTCTTTCACACTCTAAATCATAAAGCTTTCTTTAAAAAACAAGAATGATGAAGCTTTAGCATGGTGGCTAAGAAGTATCTCCTTTGACCACGGTTTATGTAGCGCTCTGTTGCTTATCTCACACCAGCTCATCAACCTTTCAATCCAGGACTTCCCCTCTCTCTCCCCGACTTTAATGTCCTGCTGCTGACACACAAATCCCTTCATGCCGCTGCACCCATTTCATTTTCAGAGCTCCTCCTCCTCTGTCTCCTCCTCTGGCCGCTACTCTGTCCCCAAATCACCCTGCCTCTGGAATGCACCACCCCTATCCATCTGTGCTGCCAGCGCTATCGATTGTATTGAACTTTTGCTGTGAAATGAAAAATGGCCTCGTGCTGGAATTGATAAAGTAGGCAAAAATATCCAAAAATGACAAAAAAACAGATGTGTGAATAATTGCATCAATGAAGAATGAATGTGCAATATTGGATTTATAGTTGAGCTGTGATAGTATTCACAGAGCAATACAAAGATTCCTACAGAGGGTTCCAGCAAGGTCTACATCTAAATGAACATTTAGGGACATATTAAATATATAGTTTAAAGATCCCTACGCTCCAAAAACATTTTTTTTGTCCCATAAAATGTCTGTCCTAAACAGTACTGACGTAGCTATGAAACATGCAAATCGATAATTGTCTCATACACAATTTCCTACTCATTTAGAAAGAAACAGTCTTTGACACAACACCAGCAAAGAAACCTGAAAACTCCAGTGCAGCGTGGACCTGTCAGAGTGTGCATTAACATAGTGAAAGATTTTACCGGAAACATACAGGTTTTGAATGTAAACCAGACCCTTTAGTACCCTTTACCTCTACCAGACAATCCCACTTATATTTGTATGCATCCAGAGCAGTAACACTAACAAACAACAGATACAAAATGCCAACTAAACTTTCTGGTCTGATGTGTCTGCTAGTTGCCGATTATGATGCATCAGTTGTGTCCCATTTTTGTTCTAAAGGAAGAAACAGAAGACGCAAACAACTCATCAAGGCCAGGTTGAACATTACAAAGACGTGCTTCCACTTTTTATGTGTTTAACAATATATTCAACAACACGGTTAACTATCGTTTCTATCTTTGTCCCTCACAGAAAAGCCTTTTTCGGTGGAGCTGAGCTGCGGGGCGGGGCCCAGTCATGTAGTGTTGGAGCCAGGTTCGCCCCTCCTGCTGGACTGCAACCTTGGGGCCACTGAAACACCTTTCAATGTCACCTGGTTTCAGGATGGCCAGCGCCTGCCTCTGGGGGGGGGGGGCTTCCTGCAGTATTTGGCCAACGGATCCCTCCTCCTGCTGCCGACCTCTAAGGAGGGCCAGTCCCCCCACCAGGGAGTGGAGGGGGGCTACAGCTGTGTGACTGCTAGCACCCTCGGAGCCCTGACCAGCCGGACTGTGAATGTTCTCCTAGCAAGTAAGTCTCTAGCAGTTACAGGGCTGTCATATGCTCATCTATGACAATGAATATGTATCAAAAGTGATTTGTCTAGAGTTTACTGCTTTGGGCCAAATGCTTGCTTTGATAGGCTCCAATCCCAAAGTTTAAAAAGTGCATTGATAGATGGATAGAAAGTTCAACAAACGTTCTTACCATAGCTGCTTTAGAGAAAAAAAGTTCTCTAGAACGGAAACTATTAGGTAATCAATCAATTAGTTAATCTACACAAAATAAACCCATCCGATAATGGAATGATCATTTAGTCATTTCTTTAACCCTCCTATTGTCTTCGTGTTCCCCCCCTTACTTTGGTGTTCGCGGTCAAATTTGACCGGTCCTGTTTTAACTGCTATTACATTAACACAAAAACCATTAATCATCACCACATTTCATTTAACACCATTTCAAACTGTAAATATTGTATCAGACTACTGGTATACATGAAAAACTGCAGTAAATATACAAAGAACAGACACTGAACATGTATTGCGTGTGCCAGGTGTGATCCATGTGGGGGGATAGGCACATAAGAGCGGGAAATGTGTCAAATTGTTCTGTTTGTGTGTGTGTGCCAGGTGTGATTCACATGGGGGGATTGGGCACATAAGGGAGGGGGACACATCTAGAGTGTGTGTGTGTGTGTGTGTGTGTGTGTGTGTGTGTGTGTGTGTGGGTGTTTGTGTGTGTGTTTTATCTGATCCGGATGGTTACTAATTCCTTTTCTTTATGGCGGACCGGGAACACCATGGGTGTTACAAAGTTGACTAAATCATCCAAAATGCAATGAAAGTGGTGATCAGCAATTGTGTATGTTCAAATGTCTACTGTGAAGGATATCATAAAGCCTTAATGCAATCGAATGTAAAACGGATGTAATGGATCCAGCCTCAGTTTTCTGCTTTTTGGAGTCCTCTATGATGGTAAATTGCATTCGTATTTGGTTGCATTTGCCCCCTTGGTTGGGCAAAACAAGAGTTTTGGGGAGGTCACCATTAGCTCTCGGAAAATGTGGTGGATATAGCTCACTATTTTCTGCCACTTTGTTGATACTAAAGTGAAAGCTACAAAATGTGTTTTTGAGGTTAAATTAAGTTCTTCTTCCATCATGGTGATTATATCATGAAAATACAGTTACTTTTTGTGTTGTGGGGTATCTGTTTGTCTTGGCAGTAAAAAATGCTTAACATTTCAGGAAGAGGTAGGTCGCACTGTCCCTTATGTAATGGAGGAATATTGGTTTGATTCAGTTATCCATTTAGAGTTCAGTATGCAAACACACACAAGCAATGTGCTTTGTCAGATTTGTCAAGGGATTTCTCTTGCGTCGATGGAGATGAACTTGGTTCTACTGCGCCTCAGATAGGAGACTTATCCTCTGATTAAGTGCTAGCAAGTGTCCTGGGAGTAAGTACACTTTTAAACATCAGCCGGTTAAAAGGCAGGAGGAAAACTGGGTGGAAATGAAAGAAATGTACAGGAAGATGCGGGAGTGAGGCACGAGAAGAAAGACTGTAGCTCTGTAATCGCCCCGCCAAGGAGGCCTCTTTCTCTCACACTCTTTAAGTGGTCATCTTTATTTAGTCATTAGCTTTGTATAAAATGAGACAGTGCTCTTTGTGGATGCCCCTGCTTTTGTCAGCTGTCACATGCCTATTTATGAGGATCTCTTGTTTGAGGAACAAAAAGGAGTAAAGGAGGCGAAGGGGGGGGATGTGGGATGAATGGTGAGAAGGCAGAAAAGACTGAAGAGAGTTTGTGGTGATGGTGAAAGGAAAGGCTGCAGACACCATTAAGAATGACCTTCGTGTGTGTGTGTGTGTGTGTGTGTGTGTGTGTGTGTGTGTGTGTGTGTATGTGTGTGTGTGTGTGTGTGTGTGTGTGTGTGTGTGTGTTTGTGTGTGTGTGTGTGTGTGTGTGTGTGTGTGTGTGTGTGTGTGTGTGTGTGTGTGTGTGTGTGTGTGTGTGTGTGTGTGTGTGTGTGTGTGTGTGTGTGTGTGTGGTGTGTGTGTGTGTGTGTGTGTGTGTGTGTGTGTGTGTGTGTGTGTGTGTGTGTGTGTGAGAATGTGCATGCATGAGTGTGTGGCGTTTGAATTAAATCAGCAGCGATGGCCTATGAAATGGATGTGACCAGGCTACAGGAGGTCGAAGCTGAACTGCTCCAACATTGACATTGAGCGGACATTCTCATTTCCTACTGTGTCTTCTCCAGCAGAAATGAGACTGAAGAGGGAACGTAGCAGAGATCACATCTGTGAAAACACATTACGAAACCCACCTGCTCCAGTTTCCCTGTCGCAGTATATGACGCATGTGGCCTTGTATAAAAGCATGTAGATGTGTAGGGAAAGGAAAGAAACTGGCTCACTCATTAGATACGGACAAACAGGAATTCAGAATCCAACTCGCTCTTTTCTCGGCAAAATGCCAGAGGAGGCACACAGTGTGCACATTACATTTCCCAAACACATCCACGGGTAAACGATGATGCAGGAGAAAAAGCAGCTTTTAATGTTAATTAGACCAATTAACCTTTCTCATTATGGGGCTGCTGAGGTGAATGTCGATATATCCTAATTCATACCAGCTTTTGCAAGTCATTACAGTCAAATAGCTGATGACATAATTATAGAAAAGGGTGCGCTCTCGATAATAAACAACCTGTGTACTTTATACGTTTATACATTGTGGGGTTTTCATTACGGTGTATCCCTGCTTTTTTTTAAACTAACTTAAGGGTCATGATTTTAGTAAATACATACAATCGCCATGGCTTTGAAAATATTAAAATAGGAGGAGGATCACTTCTCAACATGAGAAACGGTAATTCAGGAACATCTAACAATATAATCAAATGTACCGGCTTAAACATTTTACAAACAAATAAGTACAACAGGTTTGTTAGAATTAGCTTTCATTTTCATTTCATACACATGATGAATCAATTCTAAGGTCAGAGTTTGGCCACTTAATAAAGCTTAAAAGGGCAGTGTACTGTAAATAGGAAATTAAAATGTCTTACCACACATGTTTCGCAGTTGCTGTTACAAATATCTGTTGAGGCTAGGGGCACGCTTTATGAGTTTTCACACTGTTAGTCAGCCTGAAAGCTGGGTAGCAGAGGGGTCACGGGTGGAATTATCTGTTGCACAAGGGGAGGGGAAAAACGCTGCAATCTGATAGCTGTGGGGCCAAAGAGTGGGGCATAGATAGAGGGACAGACAAAGACAGAGAACAAGTCTGGGGTAAAGTCAAGGGCAGGGGGGAGGGAGAAGCAATGAAAAAGACAAATGAGAGTGAGTAAATACATATGTGAGGACCTTTTTATGTAGTGCATTGAATTGTTAGACACTTTCATAGAGTAGGCCCAAGGAGCTGCCTCAAAACGTTTATTTTAAAGACCTTGTTGCTAGGAAATAATTGGATATGTTTTTTTACCCTTTGACTTGATATGTCACCTTTTGTGTTACTTTGTTTGTGTAAAACAGCAGGGTGCCGGGCGCTTCTGTCATGGAATTTCATTGCGGGGGGGCTTGCATAGATTCCTGATAAAGACTAATATGATTAGGCTTTGACAGAGAGGAGGCGGAAGTCCTGCCAGTCGCCATTGTTCCATCACAGCATGGGCAAAGTGTCTTCTCCGAACACCGCCCGCCTCCTTTGCGTTAAAGTTTTCTCATCTGCACTCTCGCTGATCAGCTGTTGTTTACCACAGATTCAGGTTTATTGCCAAGTAGGTTTACGCATACAAGCAAGCATTTGTTTGAGTCCATGCGTACAATAAGAGGAATTCAGATTTAAAAAGGAGCAAAAACACAGAAAATAGCTATTAAAAAAAAAGAAAAATATAAAAAGAAATGTTTGCAAATGTTATAAATATACAAAAAGATAAGTCCCATTCAAACTCAACCTAACAATCAAAAATGTGCAGTTTATCAGAATGTAAGGTTTCAGAGCTGTGCAGTTGAACAGGAATGTGCAAAATATAAAAAGGAATGTGAATTTACAATATGGAATATGATCCGCCACACATACACACATACACACTCAAACACACTGCATCACACTGACAATCATATGCTCACAGTCATCCAGTAATACAATCACATGCAGTTCTGTACAGGCATCAAAGAACACACTTGAGTCAACACTGAGGTACAAGTAGCTCGGAACACATGTACTCAAGTTTACACGTGTGCACTCGCACGCACGCACGCACGCACGCACGCACGCACGCACGCACGCACGCACGCACACACACACACACACACACACACACACACACACACACACACACACACACACACACACACACACACACACAGCTGGCACCCTGTCAAGCTCTCTGGCAGTGGTTCAGTTGGTGTGTTTACATGAGGGCATCCTGCTGTGTAATGGCTATATGTGGCCGCGGCTAATCATCAACTATTCCTGCAAAAACTTGCAACGCAACAATCACTGCAAGTGTTTCTGAGATGAATCAAATGTTTTCTGCTACTATGGCCAGCCTCTGTGAACTGAACCTTTCTCCCAGCACAGTAGGAAAACACAGATGGCCAGTTTGTTGCCATGACCAACAGTTGGTGTGAAAGGGTTAGGGTAATCTTGCATAGTCTCCTCGAGCTTACAGTGGTTAAGGAAAGAAAGCTTGTTAAAAGATGTGGGATTGCTTGAAAACTTGATACAGTCTTGTTATTGGTTGCAAGTTTGAAAGTACCCAGGTTGAACATTTGTGGAGTTTAATATCTCAACAACTATTTGCTGTGTTGCCATGAGACTTCAGACATTCATGCCACCCTTTAAATAAATGATATGATCTCTTAACGTTTCTACTGGTGCTATTGTCAGGTCAGAATTGAACTTTGTCTGATGGTTCGGTTTATTTCCCTCAGCTGTGCTTTTTTTTCTTTGCTAATTAGCAAATGTTAGCGTGCCACCTGCTAAAATAGGATGGTATAATCATGTACTTATAACTGCTCAACATCTGCATGTTAGCATTGTCAATGAGAGTCGACAACCGCATTTAGCACATTACACCACTGTGCCTAAGTACAGCCTCACAGCTGCACTCTGCAGACTCTAAGCTTTGTTTACTTGAATTTCAGTGGACTGCAAGACAACATTTCATGGCTCATTTACATGGCTTGGTCCTAACTAGAGTAACCCAAAAGAAAGAGCATCAAAGACCAGGACTATCCTGTCTCTAATAGAAACACTTCCAGAATCACTTGGATTCAGAGCAGTAAACAATTTACGTGTAACCTCTAAGTAAGTAAGATCTAATCTTTCGGCAAAAGGCCTATGCAATCTGTTTAAACTATAACACAACAGTATCTCTGCTACCAGCAGCTTTTTTGAGATGCGTGAATCAGATTAGTCCTTCTTGCAAGTTATGTTTCTGTATGTAACACAGCTGGATAATCTTTACATGTGTTCATGCTGTGCAAATCTGGTGTGATGAATCAGTTCTGCGATTAGCCCCACATGAGGAAATATGTTACAGAACAACATAAAGAAAACACTAAGCATGACTGATAACAAACCACTTTATTCTATCTATTCCAATGTCTGGCCTTTTCTTTGGTACATTTCCTGGAGCACGTGTATGTATGGAAAGATTTACAGTCTTTATGTTGGCAATGTTAGTTTTTCTGCCACTTATATACTGTCTTTTCTAGCCTAGTTATATATCATCTGGGATTTGGAGTCTCCTTCTGTTACCTCCCTGCTTTCTTCCAGCCTCTTGTTGCTTTCTCTGTCTTCTTTCTCCGCGCTCTCCTTTCATCCACCCCCCACTCTCTACTCTTCAGTCAGAGCTGCAGGCAAGTGACTGGGACAACCAACCAGTTTTGTTCTCTTCTCCAGCAGCCTGTTGGGGTCAGAGGTCAGAGGCCCTCAGACAGCGCTCACTGCTGCCCCCTGGTGCTGGGTATTATCCACAGGAGGAGGCTTTTCCCATGCTGTGAATGTGTTGATGCTGTGAAAGTTGGAGCGCTGCCAAGACTCAACCTGGAGAGAGAAATAAGCTAGCCAAGCCTGATTAAATCCCCACATTTCTCCTAATCAGGACATTCAAGGGTATTTAAAAGGTCTGAACGAGTCTATAATTAAATTACAAAATGGAAAATGGTACCTTTTAAAATCCCTAAAATTGACTGATTCTCAACCTAATTATGCTGGTTTTAAAATAAACCAATTAAAATGAAGAATATCCAATAAAAGTTATATTTTAAACCACATTTTGAATGGGATAATTGGTCTCAATTAGGTTGAACACACAATTAATGTAGAACCCCTTCCATGACCACATTGGTTTTGCAGCCCATTTAATTGTATGTACTTGGTGTGTGTGTGTGTGTGTGTGTGGGTGTGTGTGGGTGGGTGTGTAATGTGGATTCTGATGGAAACAGAGCTGTCCAACAACTGTGGACCAAACCTTCAGAAAAATACTGTCTGTCTCATCTTGTGTGACCTACTTTAAACACTGTAGACCGTGTCCTACAGGTAGACAACATGACACACACAAGTCAGACCATTACAAATATGTCATTTCCTGGAACAGTCATTTAGAGATGGGCTCCTTTTTGTCTATCTGTTGGGAAATCAACAGCTCTGCGTTGATAGATACTGTACCCCCCTGACCTCTATCCCCTCTCTACCCCCCCAGGTCTGTCTAAGTTTCATCAGCAGCCATCGCCCCACACAGTGCCCGCTGGGGGGGCTGCTCGCTTCGAGTGCCAGATTGAGGGAGTACCCACACCTGTTATTACCTGGGAGAAAGACAAAGTGGCCGTCCCTGAGGAGACAAGGTGACCCTTTTATTTGTTTTTGTCCTTCACCTTCTTCCTTTTCCATATTCTCTGTGATCTCATTTTCTAACAACATATCAATGAATAACTGATGTGATTACTCAGGTTTGTTTCAATTAATTTGAGTGCATATTCATTTTGTTATTGTTTGTTTTACCTGATACTTTTCCCTTTGTGTGTTCACTCTTTAATATCTTACTGCTGTCCATTACATAATGACATTAAGTCATTTCAATGATTGATATGATAAATCATATGGGACATGACTTTCTAGTTAAATTCATTACTATAAAATGTAACGATCTATAGTTTACTAAAATGCTTAAACAGTTAAGTCTTAAGTGCTTATTTAATGCAAGCTGATCTCAGAGAATGTCATGTGAAGAATACTGTTGTATTAAACTATCGATGGCTGTGGCCCTCAACATTTGGTTTAAGGCAGTGCAGAAAAGACTATTCATTGCTCAAATATAAAACTGCAACAGTCAAAGTGTTTGCAGTTTGGTTAAATAAATGTTGTCTTTCACAAATGTCGAGAAAGGGAAGCAGACGACACACTTAAAGGTGGGGTAGGTAATTCACTTCAGAAACACTTTTTGTTTATTCCATGGAATGCTCTTAACATCCCGATAGCAATGAATACATTAAATGCTTTGACAATAAATACATAAAAAAATCTGTGGAAGCCGTGGCGCTGTAAAAAGCACGACCAATTATCTGAGCCGGCCCGGCTAAAATAACTGGATGGCCTACCTGCCTGTCAGCCTTCCATCTCGTGCACAAACTTATCTCGTGCCCTCATTGGTCATGTGCGCTTTCGTGTGTGTTGGAGGAGGGGCTCTGTAAGGAAGTCTGAAGGAAGAGGCAGATTTTTTCCGGTTGTGTACTTTCAAATTCTAGCGCACTCGAGCTGGTTTCTCCAAAATGACATACCCCACCTTTAAATGTGCTTGTTTATCTAGAAAATGTAGCTTTGAGTTTTTCTATGTATTCATTGCAACCCATGTGCTACATATATATGATTTTACACTGTAATATGTTCCTTTGGATTTTCAAGGTTATAAGGGGAAAGTCTCCTTGTATAATTGTCTTTCATCCCTCAATGCCACACTGACATTACTGGATGTATGAAGTTGACACTAATTCCAAAAGTGGTTGTTCTTTTTTGGAAACTTTATCCTTCATGACATAGTAGAGAAAGTATTTCAGAATCACCTGTTTGCACCATGAGAAACTGAGTTGCAACTTGTTTAATACTTTTGAGATTTTCAGCTTCCTTTTGTTTTAATTGAACATTTCGACCAAAGTGCTTCCCCCTGCTGTCTGTACCCAGCTGTGAATGTGACTTTGCTGCAGTCAGAAAACCTACAAATGTTCCATATACGCCCGTAATAAGTAGATTAATGAAACATACATGTACATGCACATATTTTAGAGGCGATTAGTTACTGTGTTCATCATTACCTCATCCTTTCTTTGTTTATTCCCCCTGGATCAGACTGTACTAAATTACAAGCGTCAGTGAAGGGGTCAGAGTGCAACAATTTTAAAAAGCACTTTAATTTAACCTTGGCAATTCAATGCAAGTTACGGATAATAGCAACAAAGAATGTACATGCAGCGAACTCTAATTTATTATCATGGAAGACTAATTGTGTGGGGTTTGACTGAAGTAGATAAAACATAAACTGTAACTGAACTATTTTCAAAGCAAACCTGTTGCCATTGGTGAAAAGACAGTTTTCAAACAACGGCAGCATTTAATAACGTGTTAGGTCAGCTCTTTGTTTCTTAGTAATACTAAGATACTAAATAAACGGGAGGCGTGTGGTGCAGTGGGTTGTGCGTAGGTGTTCGGATCAGGGGGTCACAGGTTCAAACCCCACTGCAGTCAGCATGTCGTTGTGTCCCTGGGCAAGACACTTCACCCCAAATGGCTCCTGTGGGGATTGGCCACAGTATTGAGTATGTAAATCGCTTTGGATAAAAGCGTCTAACAAGTAACGTGTAATGTAATGTCATGTAAATGCCTCTGATTCTTAGTTTTGCTGTTTCCATACTTTCTTTACTGACAGAATATCAAACTATATTGTCAAAATGTGATTTACAATTTTGCAAGGGCATTAGTGAAATTAAGTCTACATCATTTCAACTACTATCAGAAGAGCAACCTTGAGCTAAAATAACACTACCGGTACTCTAACAGTTAGAGAAGAGACATTTTCAAAATGTACTTCTGCTGCTCTGTCAGCAGAGTCTCATTTACACTTAACCATATTGACATTTCAGTGTGACTACCGGCTGCAGAGCCTTGGAATTTGTCTCCAGCCTTATTGCACAGGACTAAGTGCTAATGGCTGATTCAGCCCTACATGACCTGCAAACAGCTCGCTGCTTATGAGGTCTTATTGGTGGGATGTGCTTCTCCAACCTCAGGCGCTGTTAATGGCCTCTCACAAAGATGAGACAAGGAATGGCTGATAAATATCACCAGCTTTTTCTCTTTCTGTTCTCTCTCTTGCCTTTCTGCCGTCTCTTACTTTTCTCTTCACGATCATCCCCTTTACATTTCTATTTCTGCCACTCCTCTATCCCCATTTTCTCTCCACCAATCCTTGCTCCTTGTCTTCAGGTTTTTATCTCTACCTTTTCTTTGTTTGGTTTTTCCATCCATTGCCTCTCTATTCTCCCTCTCTTGTTTCTCACCACATCTCCACCCCCTCCCGTCTGAACAGACTACTACTGGTCACATCCTGGTGGGATTAATAGGCTGTGATAAAGACGATAAAGGCATCACATTGCCCGGTACCCTGGGGGCCTGTAGTCTGGAACATTGCCTCCATAAGAGAGGGACAAGTGGAGTAGAGAGTATTATTCAAGTAGAAATAGTAAATATGAATAGCACATATCATTATTTTACCCAAAAAGATACAAATATATTTTGGAGGGGGGCGTCTTTGTCCAGCTTTCATCTTTATATATATGTGTATTTCAATAACTTTTTATGTTGCATGACTTGTAATTGCAACCCCTTGTTGTAGTAATTGCACACAATAGCCTCTCTCCTGAATAAAGAAGGGTGGGGTCCTGTGAGGACCCAGCAGGATCCCTGCAGAGCTGATCACTGTGATGTGTTTTATGCTTCGGGGCACTAAGCCATTTGGTCAGTTGTTTTTCTTTTTGTCATTCACCTTCTTACTCTTTCTCACCGTGCCACCTCTCCTCTGTCATGCCCTGTGTACAACAGGTTCATTTCCCTTCTTAACGGGGTGCTTCATATACTGGAGGTGACCAAGGAGGATGAGGGTGCCTACCGCTGTGTCGCGTCCAATTCTGCCAGGAAGGACATCAGTCATGAAGCCAGGCTCACTGTCACCACAGGTGAGGCCTGTTGTAGAGCTTTAGTGTGTTTGAATAGGCAGCCAGGCCCCGCTGGGAGCTGCCAGCCAACCTCAAATAACCTAATGTGAGTTTTTAGGACTAGATGCTTGAAAATGATCTGTCTAGTGCTAAATAAATGGCACTTTCTCATCATGTGTTTTGATCAATGCACTGTTTACATTGTTTGTTTGAAACTATGGTGAAGAACCGTATCTAAAACTGAAAAAATAATAATTCTGGCAAATATTTTGAAATGGAAAGTTCCACATAACACTTTGTTGGTTGCGTTTTGAACCATTGTTGTATGACTTTATAAACAACATGCCTGTGCAAGCACACTTTAAACTTTCCCTCCTTAGCTGATTTGAATGGAAAAATAAGTAACAATAAGCAGATCAGGTCTTGTTTTAGTAGAGGACACATTATAATAGATTGCATTACAATAGAATACAGTGGCATTGTACTCGTAGACTCTTTTGTGAGGATTGTGATTCCTCTGAGTAGTCTAAGACTGTAGAAACTTCATCTATACATTGCAACACAATAGCTGATGCTGCACACATATCTGTGAATAGGGAACATATGGGTAAGTATCTAGACCAATTCCTCTATTCCTTTAGTTATAATACAACAGGAAATAGCGAGATATAATGGCTTTAATGTGAGGAAAAACTACCCTTTTCATAAAAGTCCAGCCTACATACATTTTACAGACCTTTGCGTTGTGTTCCCTATGCAATGCTTTTTCTATACATGTCCTTCTGATTTCTCATTAAAAGCATTTCTATGATGCAGAGCACTTGATGATGTTTTGTATGAAACGCTACTAAGTGCTGTGCCTTGTTCTTGCCTGTCCTTCAGACTTCATTTCCCTGAAACACAAAGATATCAAGAAAACAATATTGACAGACAGATGTTCTTTCAACGTATTCTCCCTTAAGCACCTGTCTCAATTATTTGAGCATCTTTTCATCCACATGATTCATTCTCCCTGTATGGAACAATGGAAAAAAAAAGTAATGTTTCAATTTAGTGACTCAATTTAAACTTGGCACATCCCAAGTTATGCGTTTCAAATACAAAGTTTATTAAGAAGTAAGCGCTTCTGGAAAATAAATATACGTATTTATGGAATAATCACTTTATTGTCTCCCAATAATGTTCATCTAAAACTGCATAACGGATCATTTTGTACCAGCCACAGCAAATTCTGTCTGTCTCACATTACAGAGCCTTTGTCTTTTTTTGCAATTTACTTAAATTAAATATAATACAAATGATATTTATTTTCAAGCCACTGACAAGAAAAAAAATCTTAACCTCAAAATGTCAATCATAGGCAACAAATAAAAGATACATGTTACAATGTGGAGTAATTATGCCCAAATCACTGAAACAAGAACAACATTAAATCCTGTTTACAGAATGAAGGAATATCTTTCAGGAAACATTTTTTTACCGTTATGACACAGTTAAAATCCTTCTTCCGCTGCTTGCATCATACAAGGACTTACATCAGTGGATTACAAAGTGCACTGAATCAGTGAGACTACAGTGAGGTGTGATTTGACCATTTAGGCAGCCCACATTAAAGCCATGTCGTATTATCTGCCTCTGCAGCTAGAGATCAATCAACTGTAATTGGCTCCTCTGCGGGAACCATCAGGATGTTTTGAGTCACAGCCTTTGTGTCTTTTAAAAAGAAAAAAGGAGAGAGATGACCTGATAAGGCCGAAGGAAGTGAATCAGATACCACGTTGTTCCAAGTTTTCAAAAGCCCCCTTCTTCATTTGTATTACTTTTCTCATGCCTGTATCTTCCTTTTAGTACAAACATACAATAGAAGGGAACATATCCTCTTTTCTTTTCGACAGGCGCTATACTCTAAAGATAGTCAAGATCTTTTTGGAAAATGAGTTAGGTAGATACAGTACATGTTAATGGCATATCCAACCTGTAAAGAGGGGGAGACTACTTAAATCTCTTGAGAGCCATTACAAGTAACGGATGTCAGATGTCTTACTTAATTCGCTTCCACTTCAGAGTTCTATGAATAGGACATCTCAACACCTATAGCCACGCTTTGACGGCATGCCGCTGAGGTGCTCCAGTCCACGTTCTTAACATATAATGTACTCCAGCTGCCTTAAACCTCCACTTTATAGTTTCACCTACCTCTTCCTCAGTTTCTACATGCTTACCCGTCATATCCACATAAGACCCCTATGGAGATGCACCCTGCAGTGCAGTCTTTTCAAAAGCAGACTGACCCACTTAAAGTCTGATGCATATCCAAGGATTGCTGTATGTAATCTTAATGAGTAATATATGGGGTGGCTGTGGCTGCGGCTCAGTGGATAGTGTGCTGGACTTCGATTCAGGGTATAGCAAGTTCGTGTCCCACTGCAGTCAGCATGTCGTTGTGTCCCTGGGCAAGACACTTCACCTCAAATTGCTCCTGTGGGGATTGTCCACAGTATTGAGTATGTTAGTCGCTTTGGATAAAAGCGTCTAACAAATGACATGTCATGTAATGTACTGTATATAACAGGTTTACAGAATGCCTGGCCGTGCTCTGGAGGTTATTAGCAATATGTGCTGCTGAAGTTCAGTCCTACCAAACAGCTGTACCTTGGGGAATGATATGCACTCAAAATAATAGTCTCTTTTTCCCTCATCCCATAAACAATATGCTTTCATTGGCATCCTTAGTCACTGAAGAGCAGAGAAGAGCCTCAGCTCTGTAATTGAGGTCCTTCTATTAACTGAGTTTAATGGTCAACCTTTTTCTCTCGAAAGACACTGTATATTGCATTCTCCTTTTCTCCCTCTCATCCTCATGTTCCAAGCCTTTCTGTGCTTTATCAGGTTTGTGTCAGGTGCCACTAAGTATCATCATGATTTCCTCTAACGATGTCTACCCTTTTGTTCAGGGTTTATTTACCAGTTTTGTACAATATGTCTACTGTCTGAGATATTTACTGCAACCTGTACATGAAATGAGATATATTCTCTTACATCAAAACCTCTCTGATAAAGATTTCCTATTCAGGTCTTATCCATTCACAACAACCACTTAGAATGGATGAAGCCTCAGATAGCAATCAGACAACTGCAGAGACTCTTGTTATAATGAAGTGACCTGCTGTGTGAGAAAGAAACACTGTCTCATGCAAATACTCACTAAGGAGTTACTGTAAACTCCTGCAAATGCATCTTCAAAAGCTCCTCTGTCTTCCGCCTCACTGAAACTCTAGCTGCTGATCTGGATTATCACCTCCAATTCCCTTTATAGTCCAAATAGTCCATTGGCGGCTTAATCAGTTATGTATCACAATTAGGTATTTGTATCATCTAAAATGAAGCCCCAATATTACTGCGTATCTCATGTGCATTGCTCGATAATAGGAAATGCAAATCATGACATGTTGGGTGTTAACAGAAACCACGTATGCATACTGCCATCCACTGGGCAAGGAATGCCCCTGTGTTAGTGAGTAGAATAAGAATTGTGAACCAGTATTGTCAGGGTGACAATCTTTGAATCGTTCATTACATTACATTACATTACATTTAGCTGATGCTTTTATCCAAAGCGACTTACAATAAGTGCATTCGACCAAGAAGATACAAACTTGAAGAAAACAGAATCATAAGTACATCAGGTTTCATAGAGCTAAAACATTTCAAGTGCTACTCAACTAGCTTTAGATAAGCCAGTCCTTTATTAGTATATAAATGCTTTGTTAGTAATTGTATTGCTCGAAGTGGAGTCGAAAGAGATGAGTTTTCAGTCTGCGCCGGAAGATGTGTAGGCTTTCTGCTGTCCTGATGTCAATGGGGAGCTCATTCCACCATTTTGGAGCCAGGATCATAGAATTATCATTCATTATCAAAGTGTTGTTGAGAAATCCATTTCTTAGTACCGTTGTTACACCTAAGAGGGCCTGGAAGTCTCTACATGCTGGGGTTATACAAGGAATAGTTAGAAAAAACTAAAATGGCAATTATGTTGGATAGCTGTTGCCCCATAATAAGGCATCATTTCCATTTGTTCACTCCTTTGGTGAAGGATGAAAAAAAAAAAACTGATTCTGAAGTTGGGACCAGGCTGATAGCATCGATCATTCTGTCAGGTACAATCACAATCATATCTAATTGAGCGGCAGGAGGTAGAGGGGGTCATCAACCAATTGGAAGGTTGATGGAGGGAGGCTGTCGCGCAGTGGACTAGTGCGTTGGTGTTCGGATCAGGGGAGCACAGGTTCAAACCCCACTGCAGTCAGCATGTCGTTGTGTCCCTGTCCCTGTAATGTGATGTAATTAATTCCTATAGCTACTACAGTCAATATGTCGAACTGTTGGCCAAAATACTGATCCCTGAAGTGACAGCAGTGTGTGGATGTTTGTTAATGTTTATCCTGATGAGGTGGTTGCCTCTGCCTCTGTAAAAATGTGGGTGGATGCCGACTTATGAATGTAAATGCACTTTGAGTGGTTACATAGACTAGAAAGGTCTTATCTAAATGTGGTCAATTTCATTTTTACTGCTACACAACACCAAAGTAAACATTTATATTTTTGTTCTAGGCTCTACTGAAGCTCTGAACGGAGTTGCGATTGTTGCCCCGCCTCAGAATGCATCGGTGGTGCTGGGCCGCCCCGCTGTGATGGAGTGTATGGCACAAGGCCAGCCGAAGCCTCTGGTGTCCTGGAGCAGACAAGGTAACGCTGGCAAATGCTCTTACTCGCTTTTTTTCCCCTCTGGGGTTCCCATCCTGTTTGTTTTTCTTATTTTACGGCATCTGTCGCACTTCCATTATCTGTGCCTCGCTCTCTGGCTATAAGTCTCTCACACACAAAGAAAAAACATCAAGGCGTCAGGACACAGATTTGTGTATCCTGTGGCTGCAAAGTTGTTGTTTTATTGATGATCGCTGTCTCCTTCTCAACTAGTCCTGTGTTTTTCTACTGTTTTGTGCGCTGAGCCATGCTTTACAGGAGGTGATTTGTCATGTTAATTAATTCATACCTGCTGCTTCTACACACAGACACACAGTCTTGGTGGGAATGATGTCAAGTTAAACTCTTGGATTCCTTTGTGATGTGATTTGGCAAAATGTCTGACATTTTTTGTTCAGTGCTGCATCTGATTTATTTTTTCCTCATTTAACATTTCACTACATATCATTTTCTGTATTGCGTTCAACAACAGCACAAAATGGCGGACAGACTAAATAGAGGTCTATATAGTGTATAGTGAACGGTTTTACACACAGCCTGGGAGTGTGCCAATGCAGACACCTCAGTGAACCCGAGTAAAATGTCACAGAGCCACCTGTTGGTCAACTTGTGGGATTACAGGTCAAATCCTCTGCTCCACAAGTGCTGCCTCTCTTTCTTCTTTGCTGTTTCTCAGGCAACTGAAAGCCTGGAAATTGATCTCCACTTTCCTCTGTGTCTAATTCCTGTTCTTTTTCATCTTAATGATCTGAGAATGTCCTGTCGTTCTTTGTTACTTTCTTCTTTGATCAGATGGAAAGCCCATTTCTACTGATGTGGTTGTGCTCGCAACGAACCTGGTGATTAGGGACACGAGGCGTCACCATGCCGGCGTCTACGTCTGCCGGGCCAACAAGCCCAAGACCAGAGAATTTGTCATTGCTGCTGCTGAGCTGCATGTGCCTGGTAGGAGACGTGTTGCCATTACTGTATATAATGACATAGTAGAGGTTTCTGTGGACCCTTAAGACACCGAGTAATTGAAGTTCTGATGCTACTATTACTAAAAACGATTTTTATTTAAATGTAAATATTATCTTAAAATAATTTCCCTTTATTTTATAAAAGGCATATCTAAATCTTTGTGTCGTCCCTTTTACATTAAAGTGCACATAATCAGTGTCTCCTGTAAGTAAGAGCTTTGTTTCCTACTTCCAAAAGCCCCTCCAGTGATCCTCCAGCCCCCAGAGACAGTGTCCCTCTCCAGGGGAAACACAGCCAGATTTGTGTGCAACAGCTCAGGGGAACCTCCACCGGTGTTGCACTGGCTTAAGGACGGTCATCCCATTAAGTCTTTCAGACGGGTGAAGACCCAAAGCCCTGGGGTCCTGCTCATCAACCAGCTGGCCCTGGAGGACGAGGGCTACTACCAGTGCATAGCAGACAACGGGCTTGGCACAGCCTGCGCAACTGCCAAGTTGACGGTCATTGTGAGGGAAGGTCTGCCAAGCCCACCGCGCCACCTCTCTGCTATGCCCTACTCCAGCACAACGGCCCTGCTCACCTGGGAGAAACCCGAGTACAACGCAGACCAAATCATCGGCTACTCTGTGCACTGCCAACGCGCCGCAGGTGTGTCCCGATTTGTATGTGTAGCTATACAGTTAGCGTGCCCAAACATCCTGAAATAAAGCATTTGGGTAACACTTTATATTAAGGTTCACTTATTCACCATGTTAATTAACATATTACATGACATTACATTTTCATTTAGCTGACGCTTTTATCCAAAGCGACTTACAATGACCAATTACAGGGACATTCTCCCTGGAGTAACTAAGGACTAAGTGCCTTACTCAAGGGCACACTAGTGGTGGCGTTCCTGGCGGGATTTGAACTCACATCCTTCCGATCTTCAGCCCACCTCACTATCCATTAGACCACCATTATCCCCACTATTTGTTATGAACAAGACTTCACTTTAAAATAGGGAACATATTCTGAGTTACTGCTGCCTTATTAGGCCCATATTGCTGGGAGAATATGGTCATGTAGAATAAGGCATTAATAAGTGTTTTATAAGGACTAATAAAGAGCCAATATACCGCTAATACGTATGTAAATTAACAACTAGTTGATGGTGAATATGTGTACCTTAATATAAAGTGTTACCAGCATTTGATTATTGTCGTCCTTTTCAGGGTCAGATAATGTGGAGTACCAGTTTGCGATGAACAACGACACCACAGAGTATCACGTCCAAGAGCTTCTGCCCCACACTGCCTACACTTTCTTTGTGGTGGCTTACTCTCCCATGGGGGCCAGTCGCCCCTCCCTGCCTGTTACAGTGGAGATGCTGGAGGACGGTTAGTAACTTAAATAATACACAGCCTTGGATGCTTCATAGACTCACAGGGCAAAATCAATAGAATGCCAACATTTAAACTCTTAATTTAGTGTCATTTCATGTAGTTGTTACAAAAGTAGTAATCACTAGAGACTCAAATGAGAATTGTTCCAATCAACACGATCCACTCCTTGAACAATTTAAACACTTATTTGTTGAGTTTAGTTGTAGATATAGTGTGTTTGTGTGGATCTATAGGATATACCTTGAATGAGCATCATCTAACAGTTCATTATGTCATTTTGTTTCCTCCTGCAGTGCCCAGTGCCCCTCCTCAGCTGTCTATAGCCAGCACCTCCCCCACAGACATCAGGCTGATGTGGCATCCACTGTCCTCGCAGTACAGTCGAGGAGCTGTGACCCGCTACCGCATCGAGTACAGCACTGTGGATCAGGGTGAGTAACCCCTGCTGGACAACACATTGACCTAAACAGCCAGTGAAAGCACAATTTAGTGAGTATAATTCAGGATATGTACACATTCTGCTTTCTCCATTAACTGTTATTCATTGAAAAAGACAGCCTAGTTAATTTTTGTGTGTGTTATTATTATAAATATTGCAGCTTTCTCGAAAACTTCTAATCCAAACAACTTCCCACTGCGCTTTCTTTGATACTGAGAAATAGTTCTGTCCCCCTGCAGTGTGCAGTGGAGTGTACACATCAGTCAGGTGCAGGGGCAAAAGCTCACATGTCCATTAATACTCTTTACTCAGCATGCTGTTAAGTGGTGATAGTTGAAGTCCTCTCTCAATAAATAATGCATATAATGCATTACTAATAAATACATTCAATATATCTCAAGAGCTCACAATTAAGATTGCACTTCCTTGGGTCCTAAGCAGTACACCTGTCAAGTGTGAAGTTGATCAGAGGAATAGTTGAGTAGGAAATTGAGGGACATACATATATGCTGAAAAGAACATGAACTCTACATGATTTGTTGAACTATGTATTGCAAAACGGCACATATTAATGCTTTTTTTTTTTAAAGAAAGTCTTGTAGATACATATGTAAGTGTGTATTGTGTGTTCCCGCAGTGGACTCAGTGTTCTCAATGGAAGTGGGGGGGAATGAGACTCAGTTCACTCTGAGAGAGCTGCAGCCCAAACAGGCCTACAGACTGAGGATAGCAGCGGGGACGGTCGTTGGCTTTGGGCTCCCCTCTGAGTGGGCCCAGCACCAAACATTAGCCCACTACAACCACAGCAACCAAAGCATGGGTAAGGAAAACGCCAGTGGTTCATTCCCTAAAAATCCTGTTTTATTTTACTTAGGGATCCCACAGGTGTTTTAGTATAATTGTTGTATGAGATGAGACTTTAAAAACTGTATTTCATATGGGGAAAATAACAAACATAAAACTTAACAGCACCGGTGAAACATATCTCATTAATAAATCATTCCACAATTGATTACAATGCACGACAGCAAAATAATGTCATTAGATTGCTTGTTTACTTGTCAAATTGTACATTTTAGTTTCACATTTTCACATTTTCCCCCGGATAATTTGAACCTAGACTTCAGTGACTCTACTCCCTCTTAGTTTGGGAACCACTGATCTGAACTTAAATACGCCTAAGATATATCTAAAGTGTACGTCTGATGGTCAGTAATATTATAATCATTTGGGATTCTCAGTCATGCTATTTTTTCTTCCTTTTTCAAACGTTTTCAGTGATCTTTGCCCCCACTGAGCTGAAAGTCAAAGTCAGAGAGAACACACTGAATGTGACATGGCATCCGTCGCCCAATCACACTCTGATCTCCGGTTACAAGCTGTCCTGTCGAGAGGTGGAGGCTGACGAGGCAGCCAACGGAGACAGGACGACACAGACTCACACCATCAGGCTCCGTAAGAAAGCCCGGTATCATCTCCTCACTGGGCTGGGTAAGTTGTTGAAGTTGTCAGCTTTTTTTCACACTAGCTTTTGGACAGCTTCATTCAACTCTGAGCTTTTTGACCGGTGTCCTTATATCATTTTTAACTCCGCTTTCATAAGCATTCTCACTTTTGAAAAATAAGGATCAAAAGTAGACAGATGCCTCATGAAAATAAATGAATAATTCAGCATCTCATTTAAAGGTATTTGATTGCAGATTCTATCTTAGTTGCCATTTGCAGTATATCAAACCACCAATTGAATAACTTCATTAAGATAAGATCTAGGGCAACTTGTCTACACTTAAAGATCTTGTCTTTCTAGCAGGCGGCTTTACTCCTATAATATGAATAAAGCTGGCTGAATAACATGTTTTTTCTGTTGACATTTTTGTATTTCTCTTTCTTGATGTTGCTGTATGTGTTTGCCAGTCCCTGACCGGCAGTATGAGGTGAGAGTTTGGGCATTCAACAAGCAGATAGATGGAGCGGCTGCTATGTGGAATGGAAGGACAGAGAAAGCCCCCGACAGAAGTAAGATTTATCTTCCTGCATTTGCGCATTCATACATAAATGAATGAATGAATGAGTGATAGATACCCTCAATCACTTTTATGGGATAATAAATAATGACAAATTACATCAAGGCAAGTAATGTGTATGTGTGTGTTAAAGCATCGTTGCCGCCCATGCGCCCCCCTCCATTGCCCCCAAGCAGCATCCAAGCCATGGCCAACAGCTCCACCTCCATCTGGCTGCGCTGGGAGAAGCCGCGGTTCAGCAACGTGCGCATCATCAACTACACGGTGCGCTGCAGCCCGGCGGGAACCACCAACGCCTCCCTGGTCTCATATTACACGAGGTGAGGAACTGGAAGGAACAACAGAAACTAAATCACTGTCTGAATGGTTAAGAGAAAGTAGCTTGGGATATCTCAACAACAATTGAACAAATCAAATCAAATGTTAACAGTCTTTGTGTTTGAACAGGTCTTCAGTTATGATACAAACCTAAGATGTGAGGAAACACCAATATTTACCATAACTGTCTTTCTTAAAACACATATGGTCATTCTGTCTTTATTTAGAAGTTACTTTTCTTATTTTTTCCAGTTTGACTACAATACAATGCTTCACTTTTTATTAAATGGACATGAATTCTATTGCATCTTTCTAGTCTTCCAACCCCCCTAATTCAATTCAGAAACACATTCATGGTGTCAAGTGCTCATCATTTAATGTCATACTCATTCACACACTCTAACACACCAACAGCTATGCCTTTGGGAGACATGTGGGGTTCAGTAAGTTGCCCAAGGACATTTTCACTGGCAAGATTGGAGGAGCCTCGGAGCAAACCATTCAGGTCACCTAATAATGTCTTGTTCAGGGTTTGTTTCAAATAACTTCTGACGATGAACAAAATACCAAACTAAGGGAATCAAAACGGCAGCCCACAAAACAGTAAATGACGTCTTTTGACTACGTTCACTTCTTATATACAGTGTACCCAATACATTTTTCTCGAAAGGGTACTATTATCTCTTGAGTAGCTCCGATATTAAAGCTATTTTTGACAGTAATCAAAATGGAGCACATACTATTGTCCTTGCATCGATTTTACCCTCTACACTTAAACTGGTACTACTACTCTATGTAAGGAAAAATACCATATATCCTCTTATCAATCTTTGTATGCCATATTTATTCAACACAATTATTTATCACAGCATACAGAAAATACATATTGTAGCAAACAAGTTGCACAAACTAACAAGACTAAATTGATCAGTTCAGTTATTTTTCTCCATCTAACAAAATCCAAAATGTATACCACACACTCTGGACTCTCTGTGTTTGTGTGTTGCAGCTCTGCTCAAGAGATACTGCTCGGGGCGCTGAGGCCCTTCACCCGTTATGAGCTGGCGGTGCAGTCTAATGGAGTGGACGTAGTAGGACCCTTCAGCGGCACAGTGGAGGAGTCCACCCTGTCTGACCGTGAGTCTCTGCTGCAATTCACTTGGATTTGGATTTGGTTTGAGACCCAATCTGAAGATTTTGCTGTGATACTTTGTGGGCTATAAAATATGCTTGTTTATCAGGTTTACACTAACAATACCTACTGTTACTTACTGTATACATGTATATATTTCGTTGCATTTACTATGGAAATAATTAAGAAAACTCAATCAAGTGTGCACTTCAAATCTTTTCTTACTGACGTGATATTGATGAATGAAAACACTCCTGGCTCATACAACCTTTGCAGTGCCCTTGAGCTGTGCCAAAAAGTGTGTTAGAGTTTTGTTGTAGTGGGAAGATACACTACTATTTGTATATGTGTGGGACGGTTTCTGGAAGAGGATGCAGGGTCAGTGAGTTGTTCTGTTTGTGTTTGATAAAAAGATATTACCTCATGTCGCTTATAAATAATTTATTTCATCTTGTCCTTCAGCTGCACATTTGTGCTTCCAGAATCTTTTTCTGAATAGCTGCACTTGCTAACCTTGCTGTGTGCAGATAGCAAGGTGAAGTAGTTGAACTTTTGCTTCCTGTGGATAATCTAATATATACATGTGCATGCAGGTGAGTGTTCTCACTCATGCAGATCAGAGTGTTGGTTGGCCAGTTGCCAGTGGACATGGGTATTAGTAGTTGGCATTTGTGGCTGATAACTGGCAGGAATAAAACAACCAGGTGTAGCAGTGGCTCTCATGTTGCCAAGTTAGTGTGGAGAGTGTTGAGTGGTGTCCTTTTAATGACATTATTACACCCATGACATTAGTCACCCTTCACGCTCTCCACTGCCATGTATCGTCACCTGAGCCCCGGCCTATTCTCCCTTTGCCTGACCCCTCTCTCCTGTACCCAGGTGGCGGGGACACAAAGACGCAGATGGTTCTCACACAGCATGTCAAATCCCCCACCAAGACAATATACATTCCACAGCTGTGAGGCCTCATCTCTGATCTCTAATTACTGACCCAGTCCTCCGCTCTCCTTCAGGGCCCTCCACTCCTCCTGAGGAGCTGCAGCTGAGCGCTCTGGACTCGTCCTCGGTGCTGGCCAGCTGGCGCCCTCCGCTGGAGCCGAACGGTATCATCATCAGCTACAGCATCCTGTTCAGTGGCAACCTCAGCCAGCCGGATCACTTATGGGAAGACCTCTCTCAGGAGGGTGAGTGTTGTCTGGGAGGTCTCAACAAACTGCACTTTAAACTGTTAATTTGTAAACCTCACCTTATCATATATATTCAGACTAAGTGCAACTAACCACTTTATTTTTATAATCTTGTTTAATATTTATTAGTATTGCATGCCTGAGTGAAACAGCATGCTTTACGATGGACTTGCCCTTGACAATCTCTTCCTGTCTGTCTCTCTCTGTCTCTCTCTCTCTGTCTCTCTCAGGGAGCATTACCAGTGTGGAGGTCCAGGGTTTGTCCAGTGGCACACTTTACTTTTTCAAACTGGGAGCAGCCACTGAAATGGGGTCAGGGCCTTATTCCCCTGTAAAGGATGTCAACACCCCCCTTCAGAAATATGGTACGTGGCAAATAGAATATAAGTGACAGTAATCATGTTATTATGGTTATTGTAGTAGTAGTGGTACTGTAGTAGTAGTAGGACATTTTGTTGTTGAATAAGTCATATTTTAGTAAAGAGAGGGTACATTCGTGAATAGATATTGGCAAAAGAAAGAGGGAAAAAGAGGAAGGTTGCAGTCTCAGTGACAGAAGGGTTTAGGGATGCAAAATACGTAAAGTGTATATATGCGATATTAGTGCACCAGAATAAATAAACTAAATAAATGTGAGTTTCCTTCAATGAGGGGGCAAGCAAGTTTAGTTGTCAACTTTTAAACTTTAAAAACGCCAGACTAATGTTGAAATCTGCTATGTAGCTTCAGTCGAACGCTTCAACCTACACTACACGCCATGTTGATTGTACAATGCTGTATGGAAGGCCACTCTTCAATCTTATAAACAGGGAAAAGGGTTGTAAAGGGACGGACTTATCGGTACTTACATGCATTTCTTGCATGCGTAGCCGACCCAGCGAACACAAACAAAGAAGAGAAGCTGGCGTTCTTTTCAGCTCAGGACACCATTCATCCAGTTTATCGCTTCGATTTTTAAGATCGGCATTTAAGCAACTTTAATACCACCTTTTTTTACAATACAACACTGGACACTGTATATTTTATCTGTATCTGTATTCCCCCAAAATGTAAATCAAGTTTTTAAAATTGCACCACCTTCTGGAAATGTCAAATCATGTCAAATTCAGATAGATGATGTTTTGAGTAACATAATTCAGTGCAATATATTATATGGTAAAAATTAACTTTTCTGTAATTGTTCTATTTCCAATAAGTGTTCAATTGCTTCTTAGTTTATTAGGAGGGAAATAGTACAGGCCTGTTGCTTCCATAAGCATAACTTTCACATTGATTCTCATACCCATTACCTGATCAAGTTAGATGCCACCTATCACAGTGCGCTGAGATTTGTTACAAACTGTAAAGCACTTACTCATCACTGTACCCTGTATGCCAGGGCAAGTCTGCCATCACTTACTGTTCGGCGACTCAGTCATTGATACATGTTCATTTATAAAGCCATGCTGGGTAAACTACCACCTTACATCTGCTCACTGATATCACAGAGAGTCGCAAGTAGCTATTGCCTAAGATCCCAGGATGTGTTTTTATTACATGTACCAAGTGCTAGGACTGTTTTAGGCACAAAAACGTTTATGTGTGCAGCTCCTCTAGCTTGGAACACTATGCAAAACATATTGAAAATCAGCATTTTGGTTCCCCTGCATCATTTTAAAGCACATATGGATGAATTGATATGTGATACTCCTGGTACCTGTCTTTGTAAATAAGTTGTAAATTGTACCCCTGTCATTATGTTGTATGTGTCCTTTTTGTTTTCTGTTACATGTGTAACCTATGTGCGGCAGGTCTCCCTTGTAAAAGAGATCGTTGATGTCAATGGGATTTTTAACCTGGATAAATAAAGGCTACAAAAAATACACACACAGCCTCTCCTGTTAAAGTCCTGTAATTTGTCCCCTGTGAAAGTTTAGCTCGGCTTTAACTCTGTTATTTTGCTTTTTGTCTTATCTGGTACATTTTTGAGGAGAATATTAAGTGTGGATAACAAAGGGGCGGCCTCGTCAGCGACACCCAAGGGAGATCTTTGAATTACTGTTCACTGTGCCCGGGATAATTGCTGTAAAAAGCACTTTCTTCTCTTTCATATCACTTTTTGTTTAAGCATGCAATCTCATTATACACTTTCTAATTCCATCAGTCAGCATTTTAGCTTAACTTGTAATCATTAAATGCCCCTTTTGTCTTCAAACAGAGGGAGTTGTTGAAATTGTCCAAGATGAGCTTGTAAACTCAATTAAATCGGTATACATTGAAGCTTGAATATACAAGCATTTAGTTACCTACAATATATACACAACTAAGAACAATATTGTTGTGTACACGCTGTCCACAAGCTTGTTTTTCTCACACATACATGACTTTGTTTTATTTTCTTTGCCAGCCATGGAGTGCATAATGGATGGGAATTAATTTTTTTAAAGAATCATATATCTTAAATATCTGAACATACAACTTTTCTGATGCAAAAAGCAGCAAGAGTGCTTTGTCATTGTATTGCAATGTTAAAATTAATAATACAAAGTAACAGGTTTATTTTGTCCACATAGGCAGCAGTGTTGCTAGTATGCAGTGTGAATGGGAGTGAGGTGGCTGGTGGGTGGGTGGGTGAGAGCTCCAGCCATCTGTTTCCTCTCCTCTCTGTGTCCACACTGCCAAAGAAACCCAGCATACATGAATATCAATGAAGGCCTGTTGTCCCTAGTTGAATGTTGCCTCATCTCTCTCCACTACTGTAACTTTATCTTATATTAAGGAATCAATATGCAGCGCCTCTTCACAGCAGGCCTGAGCCAAGCTCTATTTCAAACTAGAGATGCTATAATAACTCTTAGTATTCTCCTAATATGAAGTTTTAGATATGAGCCAAAATAGCTACTGGCAACAGATCACATATGAGAATATGGCTTATATTTCTGGGACCAGCAACATTTCTGCCAACTCTGAGTGTGTGTTGCCCTGGTCCTTGTTTACTTTAATTCTTACCTGTTTTGTCCTTCTATCTCATATTGTTTGATATTTGAACAGAGCTGGACATCCATGCAGTGACAGGCATCATAGTCGGTGTGTGTCTGGGACTGATATGCATCCTCCTCTGCATGTGTTTCAGCTTTCGTAATGGCAAATCCAGGTAATGTAACTCTACAGTGTCAGTATTTGTACAGTACCGATGCAGTATATATGTTGTATTTCAAACAAAAATATATATATAATATATATAATGAAGTACATTTACTTTACACCACTACCATGCACCTGTATTAACCTGCAGTCCTCTATAATGTCTAACTGCTATACCATCCCTCTCATCTCTGATCCAAATAGAGAGGTGTCTGGGGGCCTGGACTCCACAGCTGTGACCCTTCAGTACAGACGAGGAGGATGCCCCCTTCCTACCAGCGTGCCAGAGTGCAGCGATAGCCACGAGCTGGAGACCCTGATGCCCTCAGGCAGCCAAGAGTCTGGTCAGGCGCTAGAAGAGGCCCCCGAGGAGCAGAGCCTGATGGCAAGTGCTAATCCAGGGGAGGGGGAGGATAACCCTGCACCTGAACCCAAGGTCAAAACCTGCTGGGGAGGAGCTTTCCTCCAGATTGGCCTTGTACACTCTTTTATTCTTTTTTTTAAAACTGTTGGTAGAGGGTTAACGTTGTAATTCTGGTGCATTTTCTGTCTTGCAGACTGCGTGGAATGGCTCTGTGAGTCATGACTGGGCCAACAGGATCACTAGATACAGAGACACCATAACAGAAGACTCTCCATCGCTCATAAATGGAGCTCTCAGCATGGTAATTACTGATAATAGCACAGTAAATGAGTAGTAGTTAATGAAATGACTTATCTATTTTAGCAAGCAACCAACAAGCCACCTCAGCTGTAGCATCTATGGATCAAATGGCATTTCTTATTAACGTTTTCCTGAAGACCACAAGCCTTAGTTACAGCTTCTATGCTTTTCAAGTATTCGGTTCTTGCACGGCACGTTCAATGCAGTTTATCATGATAGGGATTGGGTCAGACTTAACAAGTTAACAAAAGTAGGGTTATCGTTTATTTCTGACTGCTGAGAACACGGTTTATAAACAAAAATACAAACTCTTTCAAGGTTTCTTAAATATGCAATGCATGGATAACTGTAACCATGTCCTATATAAAATGTCAGAAAACATAATGCTACCTCAGTTAACAATGCTATGGTTTCATCCACAAATCCAAAAAAGAGCAGGACAGATGTATTACTATACCATAAGAGATTATAGAAGTAGAGTAGAGTAGATAAACACTATCGTTAGTGAAAGGGGAAATATATACAGCATTTACGTACAACATGTAACAATAATTGGGCTATTGCTGAAAGGGGGAGGGGTTTAGCAAGCAGTCTATTTTGCTCATTGCTTTTATCCATCAGAAATCTTTATCAGACTGTGTACAAAGGAATAGCTATATTTGACCGTTCACTTTATATTAACTTCCCCAAACAACATTGAATCCTTGAGTAACCTGGGTACAGTATATCAACTTGTATAAAATCCTAACTATCACTGATATTGTTTTGTTGCAGGACTTAGAAGATCGTCTGTGTTCATCCATGTGCAGTAACCAGGTGGAGGCAGAAGTCATTGTTCATTCAGAGCTCTCAGACCCAGAGGAGGAGGGCAGCAAAAGGGAGAGGGATTCAAACACCACCAGAGGACCCTCATTATCAGAGGACAGATATTCCCCTGTGAGTCAGCCGAGCCCACTGGGAGAGGGGGACACACTCGAAAAACTATCACTCGCCCAGAGCCCCTCGAGTCTTTCCTTGATAAAGTTGGTGGCTAATCACAATGGGGAGCTACAAGGCATGGGGGACCAGCCGAGCGCAGACATAGAGCCACAGCAGGAAGTGAGGCTGACCAATGGCTTCCACTCCCCAAAGACGGTGCGTTCTGTGCTGAGGTCAGAACACCTGGAGAACGGGGACTCAAGACACTGCCACCCGGCTCCAGGAAAGGTCATCTCTACCGGGCTGTCCCCTGCCCCCTTTGTCAGCTCCGGCCTTGTCCACTCTACCTCAGTAGCACATAGTTATCTGTGCCCGTAGCATCTGCATGTAGGGCATCGGCCCTTACACACACATACAGACAGCAGACTGATTTTCTTTCTTTTACGTACCCAGGAAGAATCCCTAAGGATTATTTTTATGCACCTCATTATTGGATTCCTTTCTCTTCCGTGCAAAGATTGTATAGGTACTTTGAATCCATTGTTTGTGTATATACAGCATACAGTATATTTTTAGTGGTAGAGTACTGTATATGGGTATGCATTGTCTAGCATTGCAACCATATTTTCCTCTGGCTTTTTTTCCTGTCTTTAGGAAAGGAAGATTTAACTTAAGCAGAAGGAAGTGGACTGAAGGAGGCTATTCCCACTGTGTCACACGTTGCTTTGTTCCACTAAGGAATGAGAAAGCCTGCAATGTTCTGTAAGAGAGAGGGACAGGCGATCAACGTGGATGGGAGGATGTGAAACGCAGGCTCGATAAGTCTCCTGGGCTCCGTCGTGTGGATGCTTTACCGTGGCACCGAGGGAAAAGCCTCAAAGAATATCGGCACACTCATTCTGAGAGTGCAGAACACCTGTGTCTCTCTCCAGCCTCCTGCTGTCTCAGGGTCCACACACACATACATAGAAAGTTAAATTACAGCTGATTCCATGGTATTACACATAAGCTTAAACAGTCACTCATACACACACTTTTTCTGACTGGAGTGTGGGGGTCTCAGGTGCCTAATTATTGTAGGTGCGTTTATAACCTCTGTATATTTCTATAGATGCTTCTATTCAGTACACAACACCTGTCATTGTGAAGAACAAAAAGACAATACAAATGTACAAAGATGGAGTATACACATTTGCTACACATGAAGTATTCTTTTCCATAATGCCATATATTCACGTGGTGTAACTTTGTAAACCAGAGAGACTCAGTTGAAAAGTAAAAAGTATTTTTGTTGCTGTATTTGGTGGATATCTCATTATGGAATAATTGACATGTTCACATTGGTACTGGTTTTATTATGTTGGTACGAGGAGAACTAGTAAAACGTTTTAAACAATCCATCTGATTTGGCTCCCTATTAGGGATGCACCAATGGGATACTGTGCCATTAAACCGCTTTTGAACTCAGTATAATCATTTCCTTATGTGAAACACTTGCCAATGTTTTTAAATCAACTTAACTCTAGAGGTATATCTGATTGCAGTTTTGTGAAAACATTTCCAAAATGCTATTCTCTGCTTCAGTACCAGAATTTACATTTTTTACATTTATTTCTACATTTATCAGAAAATATAAATAAATGTGCTAAAGAAATGTTACATTAACCCCTAAAAGTTCAACGTTTTCAATCAGATTGCTTTCCATAATTGACTCTCAGTCAGCATTGTTTTTAGCAGTGTAAACGATGAACTAGTGCATCCCTACTCTTACCAACAACACTACCTCATTACTTTTCAGGACTGTTTCCAGTGTGATTCTATCAGTTTTATGTAACTAGCACCTTTTTAAGATATTTTTCTGATATCACAGCCTTTGGTGTTTGCAGAAATAATCGTCCGACTGTATGTTCTTATTTCATGACAAAGGAATTGTCGCTTTCGTGCATTGTAGCGTCCTCTGAGATCTCTGAAAGATTGGGTCACTCAGTCTTATGTTAACGATAAACCCCTACAGACAACATAAATCCCTGTGTCTCTGATATGAAGCCCCTTCAACAAGGTCCAGCCAATGTCATTCAGCTGTAGTTTAGGACAGTATCAGCTGCTGCAATTGGACATTGTTGGCACCTGTTTGCCAGCTAAATAAATTCACCAACTATAGTCCTGAAAGTACTGATTACATCAACAAGCTTCTTGCTCTACTTATTTAGCAAGGAAGAACAAATGTCCCTTTGTGGTCTGGTCTGTATTTTTACTCCAGTGTTAAAATGACAGCAGCTTTATAATGATTTGCCCAAAGGAAGCAATAATTGTCTTCACAGATGAGAGAATGGGTTTGCAAATAAGCTGGTTCCACAAGGTGCTTCACTTCAAAAAGACTCATTTGAACTGATGTGATTAAAAGAGTTGTTGAGATCAGTTAAAAATAATAATCTTAAAACTAATATCCACTCAAATGTTGATCAAATTTGAGCCCAAATGTGTTGAATATGATGCCTCGTCTTCTCTCAGGTGGCTTTCTTCTTGTTATTCGATACTCAAAAGTGAGTGGATAAACTCTTCTGTCCTACCTTTCTCTCTACCCTTGTTCTTGCATGTGTCGAAATCTCACCAGCTATTCTCAATCCCATCAGCAACAGAAACTTAAAATGTCCCTCACGACATGACAAACAGGTTTTCTCTAAAACATACAGTCCTTGATTTTCCGAAAACAATGCATTGTTGGTACCTCAGAGATCATTTGTTTAGCCTTGCCATGTATATACTAAACATTACAACCTAGATCAACAAGGTTTTTTTTGCTACAGCAGCACTTATAAAGGGACAAATGAATGTGTTCAAAGCGAACCTGGGTAAACATTAAATGCAAGATGTTTTGGAGGTGAGTGGGTGAAAAATTCAGATTTGAACAACTGTCAGTTACAGAAGTCTTTGTTAAAAACCTTAGACTTAAAAATGTGTGGCACTTACTGAAGCATGCTATTTCGAAATCATACTCCAATGGTGCGTAAAAAGCACTCAACAGCACGCTTGCCTATGGCAGGAAACTGCTGCTGCACCACTCTACTCATCAATCTGTAGTGACAAGCGTGTTTTACCTGTGGCCCAATTCCAATTAGTGATGCCAGAACTGGTTCCTATCAGCTGTTAAAAGTCAAACACCTGCTCTGACATATTTTATTTAGTGACAAATTTAAATATATAAAAAGCAGTGCAGCTACAGCCTTCTACGCTTTGATTTGATTACCACCTTTATATGCAGTAAACTAAAGCAAACCACCAAAATTATGTTTGTATTTTTGATCCAGGTTCTTAACTGATTTTATATTGAAACTGTTTCACATCATCCTCAAAAGCCTGTATGTCCAACATCTAGAAATAAGCATAATATTCTTAAAAGCATTCCAGTTTGATACCTCAAACATACCTCTTAGTCCAGGTCAGCCGTAATAATGTAATATGTATGTGATGAAGAGAAGTGCTACAGACTCTGCTCCTGCTCTGCTTAGGTTTCATGCAGACCTGGTTTCAGTTCTTCCATTCACCATTTGCAGATACTAAAGTCTGAGCTGCAGTTTTTGCAAACTACTTGGACTACAACCAAGTGGATGGCGGTCACTGAATCAGAACGATTAAGATAGTGTTTCAAGTAAGTAATCGGTCACTGTGACAAAAATGACCTTTCAAACATTTTCTACCGATCTTTTGGGTATAAAGTTTGTGAAGTTTTCTCTCACCCGGCATATCCATTTTTCAATCACTGGGAAACTGTGATTCTCTATTTAGGAGTACGCTTTTATGATAGCTGCCAACATCTGACATAAAATGATAGTTTGAAATGTAAATGGTACAGTGTACTAAGATTTTGAGCAACATACAGTATTTAAATTAAGTATTTTCACAAAAATGGTGACTGTCAAATCATGCAACGTTCTCGTGTTTCAAGTCTTGATGCAGTAGTGGATCATGATGGTATGTAGAGACAACAAAGAGGGTCTGAAATAGGAAATAAAATAAACCTGCCTCCAGCATAAAGGATGTATGCTCTGCCTAAAGGAGCTCTACTAACTCTTTAACCACTGACTTTTAAATACATTGTACATTTCATCGTTTCTTTTGTCTTTTTGTTGGCTAGAGCATCAGATTATTTGTGAGGAAAATTACTCATGATCTCATTTTGTAGAGACGATAATTACTTTAATTTGTTTATTTCATCCTCTTTACAAGGGGGTTAAACAGTATACCTCATGTTGGTAAAGTGTTGATTTTATTTTGATCAGTTTCTTAATACGAGTAAACATGTATTCATAAGCATCCTGTTGTTTTGTGAGCCAAGAGAGAGGACAGGATTGCACGTTTCATTTTACCTCAGTGAGAGTTTTTACTCATTATAGTGGCTTGGATTGTCCAGTAGTGGTGAACACAGAGGGGAGGATGGGTCAGTTGGAGCAATTGGCTTTTACATTGTCATTCTGCAACAGTAAAAGCTTTTTAAAGAGTTAAACACATGGGTTAACTAAAATGGTACTCGAATATTAGGAGAAGAGAGCAAAGAAGTGTCTGTTTCTGCCCAATAACATCTTAATAGTCACTCTTTGGCAAAACACCACTTTTACATAACCCAGGCGTCTGAAGTGCAAGGCAGGGAGAAGGGACATCCTCCCCAGGCAGGTCATACCTCTCAGTGCAGACAGTCATTTTAAAATAAATGGTCTCTTCTCTACTCAGGTGCCCCATCTTTGCATACAATTGTAGAGGATCATGGCAGCATATCCAACTCAGATACATGTCATTTGTGGTCAAACAACGCCTGATTGTGTTATTTTCAAAGGTAAAAACGATGAAATTCTTATGCATAAATGATATTTTTGTTTTGTACAAAACTATGTGTATTTCTATCTCTCTGGCTTTTCTCTATACAGTACATTTGGTGGTGCGCTGCTTTGTCCAGTGATGTCACATTGTTGTGCATTTTTTGTACGTCTTCTTATCTAGTTTTGTGTGTACCAGCTCAATCGTGCTTCTCAGAATGGGTATGAATAGACTCAAACTCTGTCTGTATGACCCAGCGACGGTCTGCAAGTACTCAAACACCTCTGTTATCATTGTGTGCTGAACAAGACCTCATTCTTGACAAAAGGCGCCACTGTAGGAGCAAATTGTAGGAGCACTTCTTCTTGGGATATGAGCAACTTTGGACTGTCATTTTTAGAAGTGCAATTGTCTTATTCTGTAAAAAAAACAGATGGATTACTCAGTGTTAGTCATGGCGAACGTGTTCATGATTTGTGATAGAAACATTGCTTGTTCAAAGGTATCCTCACAGGATAGGTAGTACTTGTGGTTTGTAGAAATATTTCCACCGTGTTGCCATTTGTAATAATGTCAAAACTCACAGCAACTCTCAAGATGTCTGTGGAAACTACTCTTCTGTAAATAAACATAAAAAAGAAAAAAGTTCTCTAGATTGTCTATTACTTTTGTCCCCAAAGATTTATCAGTCAATTTAACTGTGCACTTTTTCTGGCATT